CAGGTTGAGCAGTTGTTCAGCATCTTAGCTGTAGAGGGCAGTGTCACTGGCCCTCATATGTGGGATCTGAACCGGGGCCCTCTGGCGTTCCAAGCCAGCTCTTAACCAATGCGCCACTTGGCCGGTCCCTAGACTTGAGTAATCTTAAAGACTAGGAAATCAGTTTTGAAGAATGCAAATTTTATAGCTGAAAACTTAATATTTTCTTTTTCAGACACCTTCAGCAGTAAACAAGATAAAACAACTTCTTAAAGATAAGCCTGAACATGTAAGTGAAATCAATCAAATGTTTAGTTAAAAAAAATGAAATTTTATTCTCACAATGAATTTATCTTGTGATAAGCATTATGAGTTCACTAATTAGGGGTTTTTATTTAAATAGTAAAATATGCTCATGATTTTCAAATAGTACAACAGGGTACTCAGTGAAAAGAACGTCACTGTCACTCCAGACACCTACTCACCATTCTCCCTTTCAAGCAGCAGCTTCTTCGTGTCCTTCCAGAATAATCTGTGCATCTTCTTTACCTAGATCAGGGTTTCTCAGCCTCAGCACTGCTGATGTATTAGGCTGGATAATTCTTGGTTGGGAGTGGACTGCAGGACATTTAGTGCCCTCTCTGGCCTCTGCCGGTGGCAATGCTTCACCCCTCAGTTGTGACAACCAAAAATATTTCCCGAGGGGAACCAGTAGCCTCGACTATGCTGGCTCCATTTGTGTGTGTATCTCTTTTCCTTCTTACATGAGCGCACACCGCACATGCTGTAGTTACGCTTTGCTTTTTGCCCCTAATAAAATAGCTTGAAGATTTTTTCATATCATTACATAAAGATCCACCTCATTCTTTTTCGTGGCTGCATATAATAGCATATTCCACTGAACAAGCTTGATTTCTTTAACCAGTCCCCCATGTGGTCTTTTGGGTTGTTTTCATTCAGTGCTGCCGCAAACATCATTCATCAAGTATTCAGTGTCGATAGTGTGCCAGGCCCACTGTTCTAGACCCGTAAGCGTAGCTTAGTGCATCTACATAGGCTGCATTCCTAGATGTGGAATTGATGAGTAAAGGATTTGTGTATCACCTTAATCTTGGTGCATTGTTAATTGCCTAAGGAATACTGTAAATTACTTCCAAGACTTAACGTTTAGTGATTAGACTATAGTGGTTTTTAGGTTCCGTTGTATAACCTACATTACAATGTAATGGGGATTCTAGCACCGTCCTCCTAAGAATTATTAAATGCTAAAGTATGTCATGACTGGAGTATGGAGTATAAATTAACCAAATGAAACAAGAAGTTAGCTTCGTAGATTTGAGGGATGTTTGTTCATGTTGACATGAAAAGGATTGAGCAGACTTCATCAGGTGGCATTTATGGCACAAGCAATCCCTTTCCAACTCCAGTTACTAAAGCTCTATTTTCATATACTCTTTAAGTGTCTAGATCCATTCCAATAGTTGGACTTGCTGCTTGCTTGAGTCCTCCTGTTTACAAAGATAAAAACTAAGTTAAACAAATACTTACGACATGGGCTTCAGAATTTCAGCTAGGCAGTTTATTGTTTATTTAGCTTACTTAATGTGTAAAATCCCCTCCCACGTTCTCTAAGCTCCTTACTCTAAAGGTAAATAGAAACATACTCTGTCTCCTTTCTATTGGTTAAGGACAGAAGAGACCACTCTCTGAATGTTGCAGCTCCTCAGAACTGCCAGAAAGCTTAACACTCTTGACTCATGCTCTTCACCAAGTATCTTCCCACTTCATGGTGGTTTTGCTGAAGCAAGCATACATTGCTGCTTTTCAGAGATTCCACATCTGCTTGGTGACATAGTACTTTTTATGATGATTCTCTTGCTGTAATCTTAAATGAAAAGGCAGATAGGACCTGACAGTGCTGTTTGCTCACTTTTTTCATGTCTTACCTCTGAGTTGGCTTCGGTCTTCTGCTTTTTGGTACCTGAGAATGTTCACACAGGTCTGCCCTGGCAGTAAGGCCCTGTGTAGAGGAGCGTGGCTGCCAGGCCTGGGAGCTTTGGCAAACCAGACCATGGGAGAACTTCTGAGGACGTCTCCTGTGATGGGGGCGCAAAATTGTTTGTGAGCAAGCTCGATTTTTTAGGTTGTCATCTCTCCTGTCAGATACTTTTCTTTGTCCTTTAAAAAAAGTGATTATTCAATTTTGAATTAAAACTCTTTCCTTAAAAATGTTATTCCCAGCCTAAATGGCTAATAGTTGGTTAAATAATAAACATGCATTGGTATAGTGGAGTATCATGTGGGCATTACTTGAAATTACATGGAAAGATGATGTCTTAAGTGAAAAAAAATCAGAAAAAATTTTTTTTCTGCTATAATAAAAACTATGTTTAGGGTGTGTGTGTGTGTGTGTGTGTGTGTGTGTGTGTGTAGGGTTAGAAGAAATAGGAAAAAAAATATAAGCTGTTTTTCTAGAGTGGTAGTGACTGTAGTTTGGGGCTTTTTTCCTTCTGTATTGTTTTCTTTGTGTATAATTGGTTTATATTCTTTTTGGGTCACCACTAGTGACATAATGATGTTTGTATAATAATTTTTTTAAATGCTTGTTCCTCATTCCACTTATACTTCCTACAGGGACATTTTATAGCCAGGAATCCAATATTTTTTAGCTTATGAAGAAATGGATAATATAGCTAGGACTTTTATTAATATGGTTGTTTAATCTGTACTACTTTAAAACTAAATTTATATTTAAATTATTTTTCAGGTTGGTGTGAAAGTTGGTGTCCGAACCAGGGGTTGTAATGGCCTTTCTTATACTCTAGAATATACAAAAACAAAAGGAGATTCTGATGAAGAAGTTGTTCAAGATGGTGAGATTTAAACAAACTTTTTCTAGGCACTTTGTTTTGCCAAAATGTTTAACCTTATGTAGCATGTATTGTAATAATAATAGTAAGGTTATTCTATATGGACAGCTTTTAAGATAAAACTTCAAAATGAACCAGCGACTTTTGTGTGAAGTAGCAGTTTTATAATACATATATGTCAAATAAGTAATATCATCTCATGCTTTTGAGGACTCTATTTCCAATTTTAATATTTAAATTAAAAATTGCCACTCTTTAATTATATTTTGCCCTACACAATAATCTGATAAAGCCTATNTTGTGCCTTACTAGATTTTACCACTTACCAGGCCAATGCTGCTATCAGCACTGCTTAATCATATCAATTCTCAGTTCAAAAGGGCTCCGTGTTGACTTTGATAAACTGTTCTGATTAAGTTGCAGGACAACCAGTTATCTGAACTCATCCTACTTAACTGTCTGGCTGACTTTTGGAGTTCTTTTCTCTGTGATCTTTATAGAAGCTGGTGCCAGAGAAAAAGCACATCGGTGCTGCTTTCCACCAACAGTGTATAGTAGCAGGCTTGCAATCATTTGAATCCTAGTGTATGTTTCCTAGTCTTAAGACACTACGGCATGCATGTATTGCTGTTTGTGCTTAGTTTTCAAGTGTTTCTGCAAACATTTTTAACTCTAGCATGTTCTGTGAAGTACAAAAGTAGTGAAGTTATCGAAGGGTAAAGAGTGGTGACAGATGAGAACAAATGAAACGAGATAATTCAATAAAATGGGTAAGAAGAGATAAATGTTAACTAGATATAAATTTTGACATCAAGCATTTGACATGCTGCAGCCTTTGAGAAGTGCTGTACCTGTGGGGTCTACCAGTGAGAAGGCTAGGAAAAGGAACTGATGCAGTGAAGACATGGTTCCATGTTGTCAGCACCAATTATCTGCATCAAGTGCTGTTAGTCCAGGAGAGGATTGGTGGTTTGCTGGACAAAAAGACTTAAAATCTGGTGGCAGGCTGCCCGTGACACTTTTTATGCAAACCAGAGAAGGTTCCTTGAGTGAATGCTTTAATAGTTCAACCTACCACATCAAAGCAAGCACCCTTGAACACCTGCAGAGAACGTCTAAGGGGTTAAGGCCTCTTCCCCTACTTCCCTACATACCCAGGAATTGGCAAATGGAACTGAACTTATAGGAGCCAGAGTAAAATATGACTAAAGAACCCAAAGAGTTAACACGACCCTGCTAGTAGAGGCCTTATTTCCGTGTTTGTACAAATCAGAATTAGTGCAACCTTAATTTAGGATTAGGGATACCCACCGCTGTGCATAAAGCTCAGCCAAAGCTGTGAGAGAATGGTGGTACATAGCCAGCATCTTCTGGTTTGTTTTTTTTAAGATTTTATTGGGAATTGGAGGAGGGGAACAGACAAGTTGGGCATACAAACCATTAAGCACCTAGAAGTTACTCAACAAATGGTGAATGTGTTTATTAGTATGTCTCAAATGAGAAGCACGTTAAGCTTTAAAAATGTAGGCTTACAGATTCATTTATATATAGTACGATTACACACACACACACACACATACACAGGAATAGGGAAAGACAAAAGGGAAACATCATAATGCCAACCACAGCTGTCAAAGAATGATTTAAAATAGACTGTCATTTGTTCATTGGCTGCTATTTACCTACCATCTTTTAAACCTTAAAATACCAGATTTATAATGAAATTAAATAAGTTGTAGTTGTTAGCATGTGTTTCGTTTACATAATCATGGAGTTAACTTTAGACTTTAATTTCATTTTTTTAAACAGCAAAAAGTGGAGCTCTGAGCAACAGCGGTTCGAGTCTTGGCCTGAGCTGAGCTGCCAACAGGTGGCAGGATGGCTCAGCTAAAAATGATAATAATACTAATAATAAACAGCAAAAAGTGAAAATTGGGGAAATACTTAAGGAAACACACAGTATTGAGGATGAACAGTTTCTGCTACAAGGAATAAAACTCGTATGGCATTGGATAAAAGTATGTTGCTATGAAATAGTTTTTAAAACTGGATTGTCTGTAGTGTCTTTTCCCATAATTTTAACACCAAAAACAGACTAGAATTTTCTTTTTTTTGAAAGCTGAAATATCTCGTTCAAAGATTTTCTTTTCATTTGAAAGAATGTCTTGTTCTGTGATAATACATATGAGTAGATTAAAAACCATCACTACATTTCATCGAGTTTCAAGAGTCTGTTAAGTTTTAATTCACAGGCCAAATCTCAAGTGACTTAGTCATTATACATACATTTCTTGGAAGGTATGAGTGATTTCTTAGTTGTTTGAGGAAATGCATTGAAATGGGAAGGCTGCTAGGTTAGTGGCATGATTAATTGAAGTTTTTATACTATTTCCCAGATTGATTTAATTTCTTAAGTACAACGTTGCCGGAGTATGCACGTAGACTTAGAACCAAGTAGGCACCTTAGCTTTCTGCCTGGTACTGAGATACAAAAGGTACATTTTATAGCCAGAAGTTTTCTTTTAGTCCCAAATGTTCCCTGTTTAGTCCATCTGACTTGTTCTGAAAATCAGATCCATCACTTGGAAAGTTAAAAGAACCATATCTTTCCCCTTAAATGAGCACTCAGCTGGCTTACCGATCATTAATAACACTCCTTGCAACGGGGTGTTTGGTTTTTGCCCAACATGGGAAAATTAAGACATGTCAGGGTTCCTGTATTTTCTAAGAGTTGAGAAAAGAAGAAAATATTTTGTAAAACCAAATTAGATCACTTAGAAAATCACTTGGAGATAAAAACTGGAGGACCAGCACAGTACTGCCAGCCAGAGGAGCTAATAAAAGCAGAAAGTAGGAACAACGGGATCTGTTCGTCATGATGTCCTCATCATTGTAACAATAGCTGGCTTATATTGAGCTCTTGCCTGGCGCTGTTCTGAATGCTCTTCATGAATTCATTTAGTTAATGCCCTGAGGAGGAGGGACTGTTATACCCATTTACGCCAAGTAACAGGATAGGGCACAGCTAGGAGGTGGACCAGGAATGCCCTGGAACAGACTGTCCCTAACAGCATCTGTCTCAAGAAAATGGGGTTGGTGATGCTGACATATACACATGCAATACATCGTGACTTTTTTTTTTAAGACAGGTAGGCTAAATTAAACAGCATTTCTCCTGAAAAACTCCCTGTTCTTGTTTTTATTGTTGACTAGCTTCGATACCTCGAAATACTGATTTAAGCCAACTTTAGAATCTGAATGTTTGGTAGGACTGTTACGAGAAGCACACTCTGGGTTATTTGATGCTGGTGCGCCCTTTCCTCTAGGAATGCATTTTGAGGATTTGAAGTAGACCTTGGGTAAGCAAAAAACAGTAAGAGTTAATAATCAACAGGAAAAAATGACTGAAAGTTGGCTTTCCCAAGGAGATAACTCGATTCATTCATTGGCTGTGAGTGCCTTCTGTGTGTCAGGCAGCGTGTGTATGGCTGGGCTTACAGCAGAAGCACAAAGCACATGCTGCCCAGAAAGATTCCATTTGTGATGTGAGTAGATAGTGCCATGGAGATCATGACAGGGAGCTGACCTTCACTGGGGGCAGCAACATGAAAGGATGTTGCCAGAAGGTATTTTAAAAATATAGAGAATGCTTTTAACCCTCCGTCAGGAGCAACTGATCTCACAGATTAATCGCACACAAAATTTCAAATATCTAACAGTTAACTCATCGCTTCCGTATCTTGCCCCTCTACCGTAACCTGTCGCCAGTTGTGTTTGTGACTTAGTAAAGACGTGTTTCATAGCAGCATCTTTGTGTGCAATGAATCTGTGAGATCAGTTGCGCCCGATGGAGGGTTAATTGAGCAGAGTTCATGTGTTTGCATATAAAACCCAGAAGGTACTCAAGTGAGAACATAAATTCATTACATGAATTTACTAAAGATAGACGATAGACTTGAGTAGTTTGTTTTGGTTGGTTTTTTTT